AATAGAATAGAATAGAATAGAATAGAATAGAATAGAATAGAATAGAATAGAATAGAATAGAATAGAATAGAATAGAATAGAATAGAATAGAATAGAATTCTTTATTGGCCAAGTGTGATTGGACACACAAAAAAGAAATTTGCCTTGGTGCAAATGCTCTCTGTATACATAAAAGAAAAGATACATTCATCAGGAGTCAAGAATCATAAGGTACAACACTTAATAATAGTCATAGGGTACAATAAGCAATCAATCATACTGGGAAACAGTCAATATAAATTGTAACAATACAAGCGACAAAGTTACAGCCATACAGTCACAAATGGGAGGGGTAGACAATAAGGAGTGATGAGAAGATTAATAGTAATAGTAGTGCAGACTTAGTAAATAGTTGGACAGTGTTGAGGGAATTATTTGTTTAGCAGAGTGATAGCTTTCGGGAAAAGACTGTTCTTGTGTCTAGTTGTTCTAGTGTGCAGTGCTCTATAGCGTCATTTTGAGGGAAGGAGTCAAAACAGTTTATGTCCGGGATGTGAGGGATCTATAAATATTTTCTCAGCCGTCTTGACTCGTGAAGTATACAGGTCCTCCATGGAAGGTTGCTAGCAATTGTTTTTTTCTGATACAGAGAAAATGACTCTTCAGAAGTTCAGGCTTCCATGTAGCAGAGTTCTGAGGACCCTTTTAACCTCATAGGTGACTACTGAAGTCCCACACCCTGCTTCTTCCTTGAAGGTTTCTCCTTAACATGGAGGACGAGATTGTTGGGGGCAATATGCTGACACCGTAAACCAGGGATATCAAACTCAATTTCATTGAGGGCTGCATTAGGGCTGTGGTTGACCTCGGGGGGTCGGGCGGGCATGACCGACTGGGTGGGCGTGACCAGCTTGATGCCACTCCCCAAATTGCTGGCATGTTTCCTCTTCACATTGGGTAGACTGGCCCAAAGCTTCGCTGGCCTGATCTTTCCTCTTTGTATTAGGTAGACCGAGCTGAACCTACATTGGCCTGATCTTTCCTTTTTGCATTGGGTAGACCAGGCCGAAGCTACATTGATCTGATCTTTCCTTTTCACATTGGGTAGACTAGGATGGCCCCGCGGGTCAGATCCAACCACATCAGGGGCCGGATCTGGCCCACGGGCCTTGAGTTCGACACCTCTACTGTAAACCACTTAGAGAGGACTGTAAGCACTGGGAAGCGATATATAAGTCTAAGTACTATTGCTATTACATCTATGATAGAAACTTCTTAAATGGATATCCTAATTCGAGTATGTGGTTGCCTAAATTACTGTTCTTCTTGCACTATTTTCAAATAAGATCTTCTCTAGCTTAATGTGGTCTATTAAAAAGTGCCCAGCCGATTATCCTTCTCGTGGGAACCATCATATCATCTCCCTTCATCTTCTGGGAGTCTTGCAAAATCTGATAAATAGATGATACAATACTCTTTGCTTCATAAGAGAGTTGGCAAATCCACACCAAAGGGTAATCCTAGAGTTGCAGGCAGATAGGAGGATTAGAGAAGACTCTTTATTCCTTTGCAGGAAAGGTTCAGCCTTCTCCAACTGCCAGATATTCTAATCCAAACTTCAAACTGTTAGCCCACGTTGATTTTGACCCTAATCCCAGGGGTGGGCTGCCACCGGTTCGCACCAGTTTGCACAAACCAGATGTTAATTTTACATCTGATTCGCCGAACCAATAGTTCAGCTGACTGGCTGGCCCTGCTCACCCCACCCCACCCAAGGAGTCTCCACAGGGCCCATTTTGGATCCCAGGTAAGTGCAGAATCCATGCGGAGGCTCAGGAAGAGCAAAAACCAGGTCTCCCAGAGCCTCCGGAAGGCCAGAAATGGGCCTGTTTCCAGCCTCCAGAAGGCCAGAAATGGGCCTGTTTCC